GAACGCAAACGTCGGAGAAACGTTCACGTCGACGTCTGTACACCCGCATTCTTCCATCGCGTCGTTCCAATAGAAATCGTGATTCATCACTGAACCAGATTCTACGCCAATTCGGTAGGTTCCAGGCCTGAACGTTGGTGCACCATTGAACTCGATGTCGACGATGTGGTTGTCGAAGCACAGGGCCAAAATAAGGTCTTCTGGCACCTAAACCAGCCTCTCTCAACCTGTTCCTGACGGTCTGTGCGGAAAGCCTCCCCAATCCGGGTATTTGTCGAGCGGTACTGGTCGCCGTAGCTGTTCGATGACGCAGGCGATGTACCCGGATGTAGCGATCCTGCACCGCAGTGATCGCTCGAGGTCGCCCACTACGAGGGGCATCTGCTACCGCATTCTGCCGGCGATATCTCTCCCAGAGCCGTGAAATGGTGCTTTGGTGAACATTCATGCGTCGGGCAACTGCACGTTGAGACTGGCCAGCTTCAAGCAAACCAATGGCGATATGACGGTTGGCTTCACTTAGACATGGCATTTTGCGTTCGTCAACAATATTCCAAATACAGTGAATAATCGACAGACAGCGATCAACCTTTTATACCCATCATTGAGACTATCTGATCCCCAACTTTCACGTGCATTGCATGTGAATTGTGTATTCTGTGACAGAAAATCATGCTGTTAAATACGGGTATTTTACGGATGGTGCGTTTTGTTGTGATGTTTTAAAACATAAACACCATAGGACTCATAAACAGAGCAAAACCTTTTGTAAAATCAATCACGTTTTAATTCATTGCTACATGAAATTGCTATTTTCATGATGCGTTTCTTTTTTGGGAAAGTATATATGCAGCTTGGGTTCGGGTGATCCTGACACAGTCAGGCTGGAATGCTTTATCATCAGCTCAGGGCCTTTGCCCCCTCGACACGCAGTCCAGACAGTGAATGGGAATCATCTCGGGAAAGGCTGACAAGTCGAACCCGCCAAGCACTTACCGGAGTATATGTAGACTCCCCAACACTGCCTCCTTCTGCATTACCCAGAGTGTCAGAAGGGCTGTACTCTCGGTGGAGAACCCGGGCACTCTCCTGATCTGCGCCAAGAGAACAGGAGGTACCAAACAAATTAAGGGCACCGAAAACAATGAGAAGCCAGACAATAGTGTACATGGGATGCAAGCGAGACATTTCAGAGGTCCGCATATTTAGCATGCTTTTCCTGAATCTTGCCAATCACATTGCTGTCAAAAGGGACAGAAAATTCAATGCTATGAATAAATTCATTGGCTTAATGAAAAACGAAAAGATCAGGTTTGTTGACTGGAATTCTTCTGAGGCTGTATATGGGCCTATTCCAGAGAAGTTTAAAGCTGTCATTTTCCATGAGGCCCTGGACATGTTCAGGGTCATACCATGGATGGACCTCAGAGTCAAAGCCACAGCTATGGAGGAGATAGTAGTAGAAACAACGAGCCATGCCATCGTGTTGTTTAAGATATGATGTTTGTGCCAAGGAAGTGCATCTACTGACAAGGTGCTGGACAGTTTCTGTACATCCATTGCATAATCGACATTTCATGCAAATATTTTTTTACGAATCACATTTAGGCAATTGCGAGTGGGATGTGACTGGTCTTGAGCAGCAAAAGGAAAGTCTTCTGTTTCAAATTTAAGACCAGCCGACTTTATCAAGGAAAAGGAGTTGGTTGGATTGCTATTCTGTTCAAACTGCACATATACACGATGGAGTGGTTTCTCGGGAAGCTTCTCCACAAGTGACCCACTCTGTGCAGACTTGGTGAGTACCTTCACCTGGTTTACTCTCATCGCTGTACCGCTCAGCAGTACATCACTATCAACAAAATCAAACTCAAATTTCAGATTCTGCCCAACAACCTTGGCACGTATAAATTAGGTGTGAAATTCATTGCTTTCCTCATGATTCTCGGCATGCATCGCAAGAAGATCATCAGATAAATGAATATGTGCAAAAGTACACAATAAAATTCTATCATGAAGAGCCCCTACATTAATCAAACCCCGGCCTTCCGAATTGATTGGGCCTATATAAACGATTAAGAGAGGAACAAGGGTGGTGGGCTCTGTTATCAGGCATGATCTTTCTGGTCAGGCGGTCAAGACTCTGGACGTCTTGTTTTGTCAATCAACTGCTCCAAAGGAATAGGAGGGGTCTGGTACAGCAAACGCATTGGTGGTTTTGACCTTGTTTCGAGCATAAATTTAGCCCTGAGCTCCGGATTTTCTTTAAACGAGATTTATACTCGGTTTCTGGAGCTTGTCTCGAACTTGCATTCCATGATGGATGTAGGCCTGATCTTCCACAAGATGCTCAATAACTCCTCCCCTTGTATCTTGATCAATCCATCATTAATTACCTTGCCACGTTTCAAATGAAAAGTATAATATTTGTCGAGTGCAAATGTCATGCCAATATCATCAGAAAAGGACTCGACAAGGAGAATCTGTTCTTTCAAATTGGTATCTCCTTTGGCAAGGAGCTCGATGTCAGCCATGTAAAGGAGATTAGTAAGCGGTGTTGGGGATCTGTGCTGAGGAGGTCAAGGGTGGTAACCATCCTCTCTATTGAGCAGAAAGCTGAAAGGATTGAATGACAAGCCAAAAAGCAAAGGACTAAAGGAATCCCCCTGGAATATTCCCCTTCTGATTGGAATAGATACCGAAGTCTGCACCTGCCCTGCGAGTACATCTCAAGTTAAGTCGACCAGCTGCTCATTAAAGACTTGAGTAAATCAAGTAGTCGCTCAGGGAGGTCTTTTATTATTATTATATTATACAAATTGAGAAGAAAAATGCAGCAGAGGGTTCGGGTGATCCTGGCAGAACATAATAATAATATATTATTATTATATATTATTATTCCGCGGTATTTTGTACCAAGCATAGCTCCTAAACCAAAGCTCAGAATCGCTTTAAAAAATCACCAAGGTGCCCTCAGTGCTGAAACTCTTAGTGCAAAAATCTCAAGGTTCTGGGCTCAATACCAGAGGGCAGGGCTCAATACCAAAGGGCAGATAATTAAAAATAATTAAGAAATTTCAATTTCCAGACCAATAATCTCCAAAACTACTGATTCAAAGACCTCCAAATTTCTGGTACAGATCCGGAATCAGAATCCCTACAATTTCAAGTGTAGGACCCATGTAGCTACAAGGCACAGTTTGGCAACCATATTGGATTGAAGTTTTTGGCAGTGTTTTTCACCATTTTCCTGAGTACTTGTCTTCCAGAATGTGCTGAGATCGAACCATCAGCCCCTGAGCTTTCAGAATTTCCATGCGTTGTGTCCAGGAAGTACTGTGAACACAAACATTGAGCACAAACCGTGCCGACATGTGCCTTCGATGGCCGCCATATTGAGTGCTACTTCTGGGCCAAAGTTCTCTTAAAGAAATTTCAAAGACCTCTTCACGATTATTCGCGGTTCCAGAACACTTTGGTTTGACTGTAGACCCCAGGACAATGGAGTTACAGGCTGTTAAAGAGGGAACTATTTCTTTTCCGAGGTACATGACCTCGCGACCTCGGTTGTATCTCAGAGATCCGCTCGCGTGTGAAAAACGTGGTCTTGGTTGCGTTTTTGTGATTTCTTGCCCTCAAATATACTTTAAACACTTGTAACTCTGCAACCAGTCGTCCGATTTCGAACACAATTTGCCCATTTGCATGCCCACTGCACATGTTAATTACAACAGCATAACTCATGAAACAACTGAGGGACAAGTAAAATTATATTTTGCTCACTGTAGTTCGTTTCTTGTACGAGTATCACCGTTTGGTGGTTAGATACTAATATTTGTTTTATAAAACATTAGAGAAAGAAATAGAGTTAGCTGAAGGAAGCGCCATGAAAATCTACCAGAAACACCCATTCGCCTGCTTTCCAATGCCCAAAGAGCAATGCACTGTGAGTGCAGTTTGTGCGTTGAGTATTATATAACTGTAACGTTTTTCTTTACTTAGAAGCATTAGAATATCTGAACAGTCGTAATTCTGATTATGCAACTGGACCTTCCGGTAATGAATTTACCTAAACTTCCAGTCTTTCCAGTTGAAAAGCTTTTGAAAAGCAGTATAAATATGTTAATAACTGAATGAAGTCATCCATTCAGTTAGTACAAATGACTATGTTTCAATGGAACCTTCAACCATTATACGTTTCTAATAAAGTCCGCAACTGTTTCCAAAACCACAAGTGTGATTATCCAAAACCAGAGTACGCAACCGTTTGTGTCTAAGCTTGGACGATGATAATTCCACTTTAAAGTTTAATGAAGGAAGAATTTCCTATTGCTGGAAGTGACATGATTCATACAAGATTACCATTTACTATTTTTTTAAGAACCAGGTGGCAGATGGTATCGTCATTTGCTCTGAAACCATATCATATGATCTCAGTCACTGGATTGCCTAGTCGGAATTTTACAATCAACTCTGCCTTGTGGATGTTTTGTTTGATTCTGTTCATAGAGTTCCTGTATTTCCCAAACCAGAAATTAGACTATTGAAAGAATAATCGGTATGTTGCAAAACTTGCAAAGAAGGAAAAGGGCAAATTGAGAAAGTTCTAAATGGCTAATTAAGTTCTTTGAGGGTAAAGCAAAGAAAAAGAAAAAGACCATCGCTGCTTGCAGTTATGATTTAAGTATGTATTTGTTAGATGCTTTTTCATATAACGAGATTTGTGACGCAGACATCGTAAAAACACCTATGATAGCTCGATGTCAAGATGAAGTTGACTTTTTAAGTCATAGAGATGTTTTACTTGTACCATAGTTGTTATGAATCTGATTTGAGAGAGAGAAAAACAACAACCGTAATGTCTTTTTAGCGTCCAAAAGTCTATATATATGTGGATAATTATTCATTTAACGTCAACATTGTTTTGTTCAACCGAGATCTAGATAAGGCAGAAAATTACTTCCCCTTCAAACGAGAAGGGGGGGGAGGGGGTACTTCTGATGGGTTGTCTCCCCTGAATAACGCGATCGTCGATAAACGAACCCTGTCTCGGAACACAAGCAAGGACGTGTGGGCGTTTTATTGAAGTTATAAACAAACTTCGAAAGGTAGGTTTCGTCAGTTTTGAAATAATACTCTAATATTATATTGATGTGGTCTGATATTTCCAACCGGTAGCCCAAGTCAATGTGTATTCGTCAAAAGTACATTTGCCCTCTACTATATTCCGCCTCGTCACCCATTTTCGTGGTATTTACATGCCATAAGGGTCAGTGGTCAAATATGAAGTGCAGTTAGGCATTGACTACATTGAGCAGAAAGGTAAAAGAATGATCCACAAAAGCAATACATTTTTTGTGATAAACATAAGGTTTGATTGAACCGTTTGTTAAGATAGTCAGGCTGTCTGGTTTTCGATCAGGTTTTTAGCTTTGGGCAGGTTGGGGAAACCAAATAAAAAATAAAAATAGAAAATTGATGACACAGATATTTAGATTTAGTTTTCAAAAGGAAAATCTATGCAAAATTGTGTTCTTTATGAAATATCTTTTCCTGAACATGATAATAGATATAAATTTCCATTTTGTCCCAAAACTTATTTTTTTCAACCTGATTGATCATATCAAACCATTTCGTGCGGAAATTGAAAGTTTGTGAAATAATTAGGAAAATGTTCAATTCTAGCCTGAGCAGTCTATAGATAACGAAATAGCCAGAACGGCCTATAATAACCTGTTCGGCCTATTATAGGCCGAGCGGTAGGTTTCCCCAACCTGTTGGGAGTGTCACCCCTTGTGTGTTTTATGTATCATGGGACCCTATATTATTGGTGTAGTTAATGTTGTTGCTATCAGGATTATGAACGCCTACTGACATTTGGCATTTTATTTATATTTTCAGTTGACTGATGTTTAATCTTCATTTCTGACACAAATAATTTGGCACATATTCGCAACTCCCAGGGCCCCGTTTCTCAAAGCGATGATAGAGCTATGACAGTCATAAGTCTATGTTAAAGTATGGGAGTTACAATCATATTACCGCTACGATCACTTTGAGGAACGGGGCCCTGGATGCCGAGGTTTTTTTTTCAGGCTCACAGGGATTGGGATAGAGAACTTTGACAATGGGCAATTTTCTGGATTATTAGCCATTTCTGAATTTAGAATGGGCCACTGCCCTTGTACCAATAGTAAACTTCAAAATTTTAATGGGCCATTTTTTAGTATAATAAGCAAAATGGCCCATGGCCCCTGCCTTTCTCAATCCCTGGGCTCATATTTTCATTAGGTTTGAAAAATGAACATTGTATGAGAATTGCGCTAATGTGGTCCTGGATCTGCGTACGGTTATAAAATTGCACAGAAATGTAGAATATTAAATTTCCTATCCGTTGGTGTAAATATAAGTGCAACTACCTCGGCGGTTTGAGAAACAGACACTGCTGAATGTTGTCCAAAATTTTGTTTTTCGTTAAAAAAAAACAGTAAATTTCTCCGCTTGCACCGATAAAAGCACTGTGCTACGATTTCTTTAAAGGTCACATGCAACGTAAACCACAACTTTGCAGATTCTGATACCTTTCGGTATGGACTTACCGAAACAAATCATCAAAAATGCAAATTCAACTTATAAAGTTGAAGAATAACGCGATGAAAAAGCCCGCGCGAAATCTTAGTTCAAACGGAGTTCAAACTGGTTTCAACAGCTGGGCTGCGCTCATAGCACGTGCGCAGTGAAATAGGTTCGTGCAACTTGGAAGCGGGCTGTCCGGTGACTACTCGGTGAAGGCTTTGGTGTGAGCTGTTTTCCTAATGTTTTGTTGATATCTCACAGGTGCGAGCTTTTTATGTGTTATGACAGTAAATAAACTGTTTATATAATTTCATTTGTCTATTTCACCACACGTTCTTTTTTACCGAGTCACTTTCTCAGTTCGATACTTAAAAGTAATGTCATTATTTAGCGTTGACAGAATTTCGAACTGTGATATAGATATGTCGTTGTCACAGACAAAACTCAATGTCTTGTTTTATTGACACCTGTGTGTCTGCCTGCCTGTCTGCTAATGACAATATTCAATACACAACTGCGATCACTGACCACATGCAATTTGAACACCAATCAGGCTATACACCATAAACAAAACGCATTGATTTATTGCCCGAGTTCGGTCTCAGTCACATTATGTAATTGCACAGACAGGCAGGTGTGATACTTGAACACATGACATGTTATGATGTCTGTTGATTGCAAAATGTTATACACAAACAATGAGCATGTATTTACAAAACCCAACATCTCTATATATTTACACACACAATGAGCCTTGAGGGCATCTGCAAATGAACCAGCCGTTACACTTGAGTGCACACCCACCCGCTCTGACTGGGTTCGGTATCCCGGCTGCTTCGTTTCTTGGGAAGTAAACCCAAGTACACAATATTGCACTTTTGATTTGCGATTGTACGCTTATAATTTTGTTTATATTTTTTTTCATAACCAGCAATGTATATTATATGTCATGAATAAGTGATAAGTGTGTTTTAATTATGTTCGATTTTTTGGTTGCATGTGACCTTTAAATTTGGCATCTTTACAGAAACTGTGAGCAGAGAAAATACAGCCTGATATCTGAACGACATAAGTGTACATATGAAATGGGTTTATGTGCTTATGCATAACGTTATGCACTCAACATTAAAAATGACTCACAATAAATGTTAAAAATGGATTTACTTCTATGACGTCAAATGACAACCAAGAGGTCATACATGTATAAAGATAAGGGGCATAACTCCGCTATGCCTAACACTAGGTCAGTGTAACTTAGATCACTTGGAGAGAATTTGTTGTGGATATGGACGCTATATTTTTTCGGTATGTTTTGTTCACGATGAACCAAACTATTCCAATAGACATTTCCCCAATGTGAGCAGATATGTTTTGGTAGTTTCACAATTTATAAGAAAAGATGACAATGTACTACATGAGAAAGCATGTAATAGCGATTTGGATGACCCTATCCGATATTTAAATTAGTCCTTAGAATCCCATATTCTCCTGTTTGTGTAGATGTATTTTGACTAATTTTGCATCATTATTAACAGAGTACTAGCCATGTCTTCAAATGTAATGAAATTATTGAAAATAATACATTTTAGTTGATGTCATTGCTTGTTTTATGTACTTTGAGACATTGGTATGCTGATTAGTATATATGTCTCACCTGATTTCCATTAATTGTATAAAAATTCTCGGCTTCTATGCCAGAATTTAACACTCTTTAGTCAAAATATAAAATGAATGATTTTACCATTTAAATAGTGTCCTGAGTATATCAACAATTAGACGGTTTGACTGTGTATCTTATTGTGAGCAACATGTGCATCAATTTAATGTTAATGAAATATTTCACAACACTCAAATATATTTTTTGTTTATGATTGTGTAGCTATTTCTTTTCATAAGTATGCAATGAAAGATGCAAAAAGATAGCTTTTTTGTATGGAACTATTAGAATATGAATATAAGGTTTGTCCAAATTAAGACATGACATGAAACAATTTTTGTATATATAGTTAGAGTTTGATATCCTGTCATCAGTATATTGTTGTATGTTTTCATCGTTTTCATTGCAAGTAAGAGAAGAAGCCAGAAATGCTGACAATTACCGTTGTCGTTCTGCATGATCTTGCGTCAGTCATGGCGTCACGCTGCACAGAAACTTTGACAATTTCTCATGAATTATCAGATCATTGTATTGTATCGATTTTTAATTTCCTATTTCTTGCTACGATACTCTTTCCATGCATATTTTAAAGGTATTGAGCCATTGCAAGCAATGAATAGAAGACTTGGTGTCGGAAAATTTAAGAAAATGCTACGCAGTCAGTGTAAAATCAGAATTTTTCTTTGTTTACATTTCAAACGAGTACAGTCGTTTGAGAACAGCGTTCGTTTTCACACCCAATATCTTTCATTTCATCTAGACAGTTGGTATTGGTGACAAAGACCATGATTTGTAACTTGATTCTAAAATGTATTAGGAATTCAATTATGCCTTTGTCGCAGCTGAATATGAAATAGATGCGATATAAGTGGTGTCTCAATACCGGCCTTGGCGAACTGTGATTTTGTAAACACTATTCAATATGGCAGAAGGCGCACTTCAGCATTCGTTTTAGTGTATTTTCAAAAACATCCTAACCTATTCTAGGTTCATCGGCAACGTTTCAGAATTATCATTAGTGATTTAAAGAAAAACTGATGTCAGTGATTATTAAAATGCTATTTTTGAAATTCAATACTCCCAATAATTTTCTGATTTTCACATTTCAAAACATACAGCAAATAACTCTATGAATCGCGACTTCGTATTGTGTCAAAAATGGCGACATTTATGATGAAGCCTATTTTGAAAGGTTATTTTAAGCACTTTTGCTTTGTCTGAGATAATAGTTGATGGTGTAAAGAAACAGGAAATTTCCTGCCGAATTCGAAACTTTGAAGTATATTTGTGTGCGTGATATATTTAGAATTTTATTCAAAGTGAGGGTTGAAGAGGAAGGACATATATGTCCCTCTGGCACCCAGGGGGTTAAAGTATGTCTCTTTAAAACACATTTAGGTATGAATATCATAGTGATGAAAGTCTGCAGAGAAAATGTGAAGAAAACCAGAAATTTTGTATGACCAGTAGCAGCCATCTTGTTGAGTGGCCAGTGCTGTTTTCTTTAAGATGAATCCTTGTTGAGTAAACTTACCAGTTTTGGTCCTTTAACATATAATATTTTAGGCACCACAAATATTTAATATAGACAAGAGTTAGAGAAAAAAGTAACAGAATTTTAATTTATATCTTACCATACTCAGATAAAACCACCCATATATTACATTATTTGTCTTTTTTTTCATTAAAACATTGGGCTGCAAGCTAAATTTAAGTGAAATTAAACATCTGGTTGAAAAAAATCTGTCAAAAATGATGGTCAAGAGAAAAAGATAATATTTTTGTAAAACAAGTTGCGACCATCTTGGATTTTTGAGTGGCAAACATCATTTTCTGAACAGAGAGCCCATGGTGAGCAATCATGCCAATTTTAGTACTTGTATCACAAAGTGAACAATTCGGCCTATTTTGGTCTGTTACCTGCCCTACTATACTCACTCGAGCGGCCTGTCTAGGACAGGGTAGAAGATAAGATCTTCTCGACACTACTTCCAGAATATCCCTCTTTTGACTAGCCATGTCTCGCTTTATTAACATGTACATGTTGAATGTATTGAAGAATCCTCAATTGGACTGAGAAAGAATGTTTCCTTTGGCGATGGTTGTCCAGAAACGGACCCAATAGTACATATTAGATCACATTAGATCACATTAGTTCAGCGTGGCTTACTTTGCTACGAAAACATTTAATTTCTGAGTAGTCGGACCTCTACATGAAGCCCTTACTATGTCCAAAACATTCAAAGAACTCAGTTTAGAAGTCTTTTCTTTGATATCCAGAAAGCTAGGGACAGAAGATTCTGATCGACCAAGGGAGTAAGTCCTCCAATTTTTTATGAGCAAACTGGCTGAGGTAGAGGCACCAAAGATCATTGTGTTTGGTGCTGAAGGTCAGGTTTCGAATGACTGGAACATTCTACCCCCAAAAGACTGACGACTTATTTGGCAAATTGGGAGATTCTAGAAGATCCATTTGTATTGGAGATTCTGAAGAGGGTCTACAGAACAATTTTAAGGGAGGAACCACCTTTAACAGTAGATCATCCAAGGATAGTTAATTTAGAAATTGAGCTACTGAAGTTGTTAGAGGCTATAAACTAACTTCTATATTAGGAAGCAGTAGAGATTATGCAGAGATCTGAGGTTTAACCTCCAGTTTTCCAGGTACTAAAGAAGAATTAAAGTGAGAGATTTCATCTGCAAAATGAAACAAGAAGTATGTTCAACATCAAGAGCAGTTCAAGATGCCCCATCTTCCAGATTTGAGGCAACTGATAAGGCCAAATGACTTTGCTGCAAAATCTTCAACATGTGCATCTATACATGATGTGGCCACATGTATACGTGCAAACACCTAGTTGCGGGTACAGCAACATGCAGTAAACAAAGTTCTGTGACTATGTGTCCGAGTCCACTCAGCTGTGAATGGGAAGGATGAGAAAGACGAAAAACTCGATGTACCTAGTGGCTGCAAGAGTTGTTGCTCCCTGTAAAGTTAAGATTGATAATACGATGTGCCGTTGAGATTGACATCCAGTGATCGAGGGAAATACCAACACCTTGAGCATATCAACCTTAATCTACAGTTTCAGACCCTTTGGCATGGCATTGTATAGAAGATGCATCATCTTGTCTTGTCAGAGCTCTTAGCATATACCTGAAAAGAACAGCTTGAAGAAAAGGATTGTATTCATGGCTCTATTGCCCAACACTTCTACAGAGGTCTCTAGCTGTGGAACTCAATCTTCCTGCGGCATCCAATCTGCACGAAATAAGAGCCATAGCATCCACACTAGCGCTTCATGGCAACCGCTCCATGACATCCAGTATGGAAGGATGCTTCTAGGAAGTCTGATACTGTCTTTGCAAACCCGTGTCTCAGAGATTTTGCTACATAAGTTGTTGCTGGTATTCAACAATTTGGACCTTTGGTTGTAGCTCACTAATTGACAGTTCCTTCAAGAAGATAATTCTCACCCACAATCACATTGACTCATGGAAGTCAGGTTACTCTCCAATCACCGATTACTGAGAGTCCATGCCCCCATCAAGATTTTAAGTTCCCGATGGATTATATGAACATAACATAAATTCAAAATTAGGTGACTGCCCTCCACCACCTGCCTAAGGATTCAAGCATAATGTATGAATCAGGATAAAGAAAGAGATGTATTTTTCAAAGTATAAAATACTACTTATCCTTACTCGTACCAGTGAAGTACCATTATGAATCAGGATAAGTATGATATGATATGTTTACTAAAAAAATTCATTTTTGTTTGTGCATGCTATATGGGGTTCATAGATGTCACCTCGAGAATATAAGGACATATTGCTGGTGATTGAGTATCTCGAGAGTGACATTTTTTCAAGGTATTGAAACCAATTTATACACATGAGCATTATTCAGCACCTCCCACTATATTCTATAAGTACAAAAACACTACATCTTGTGTTTGCTTTGGAAAGCAAATCTGCATATTTAAATTGTAGTTGAAGCATATTTTACTCTAATTTAAACACGAAAACAACTCAAATTGAGATGTGGTTACAATTTACTTGCAGTCTGAGAGGAAACACAAAAACCTGATTATCTACAATGCCAGAAAGTATGGCCACCATGAGTACTCAACCAAATGATTGTTTTACAGTTCTCAATAAATGATAGCTACCTGGTGTAGCCACCCCTTGCACAGATAACATCTACCAGTACTTGATTCCACTGCCATTCCGCATGGAGTGCAAATTTTGAACAGGAGTATATCTAGCTCAAACTTGTCATCCAAGACAGTCCCACAGATGTTCAATTGGGGTTCAGTTTGGGGCTCCTTGTGGGCAATGGTAATGTTTTGATGACGTTTTGCAAATGGGTGATCACAGTTTGAGAATGGTTAGGTCTTACATTGTCATCCATGAATGTCAGACGACTGACAAGGGGATGGTTATCAAAACATCCATCAGTAACATGTAGAAGTTAGTTACTTTCATCAGACCCATAAACCCTAAGTGATGTCCTCAAGTTTTAGTTGTATCAGAGATTGCACCAAGCCAGACGTTCTTGCATGTGCCTATCTGTGAGAAAGGGATTCAGACCAGCAGACCCCTTCTGATGATACTGGTGGAGAGTTGGACTAAATCTCCATTGCAGTTCTTTGACATCTGTCATGGGATTGCATCTTGACAGACAAATTTGGACTTGATCATAATGGTCCTTGGCCTTCTGTGGTCTTTCAGGTTTTGGACCATCCTTTACTTCACGCCTCTATGCCTCCACAAAAGTCGACTAATAACATTGTGGTAAACACTCAAGTTAGAGCTGATGTTGTGACAGGACCTCCCTGTGTCATGCATGCTAGTAACTTGCCATCATGTATTTTCTGAAAGTTGTCGTATTGCCATGTGAAGAAAAGTTCATTCTTAGTACTGTCATATTTTAATTAGTTTCGAAAACTGTCGTGCACATACTGTAGTGTTTACCAGCACATGAATGTGTGACCAATAGCTTTTGAGACAATGTGTGAAGTATGTGCTTAACATGTGTATTGCAGTATGCTTGGGTATGGTCACCTGTTTGTTTACAATGCATAGGACAAAAAGGGTGGATTTCACATGGAGTTCTTGACAAAGATAAACTGGTATGTTGCACATAAGAAATGTCAATCATATTCAATTATACATTATAGCATCATATGTTCTTTAGAACTGCAGTTTATGGTTTTTGATTTTCTTGTATCTAAGTGTAATGTTGGCATTTCAGCTTCAACAATGATTCAGTCATTGCTGTAAGGAGGCATGTCATAAAGGAAGTTGAAATAATCACCCCAAGGATCTATGGACAGTTTTAGAGGTATGTCAATGTGATATGATATTCAGACCAACTGTATTAATCAGAAAGTAGTAAATATTATAAAGGGGAAGTGTACAGAACATTTTTGTGTTCTTGAAACAAAACACTATTTTAGTATTGGTTATTGTTTGAAATTAAATGATAATATTTCTCACCTCTGAAAGTACTAAATTTGTGTGAAAATAAAATGTTATGACTCATTCGTTTCTCAACTATATTAAGGTTATCCCCCATTGAGTATGATTTCATGTAACTTTTCTCAACACATCACATGGCACAAAGATATCCTGTACCAGGTCATTGTAGACAACATAGCCTCTGTTAGCAGATCCCTTTACACACGGATAGTAAAGGGATGAAAAAAGTTGTCTGTGCATGATGATCAGTACTGTTATGGTTGTGTAATCATACATGTGGTGGTGCTTGTTGATGACTAGGACAAGATGTTAAAGTGGAAATCACTTTGTTCACAGCTTTGGTTAAAATAGTTAAAATATGTGTAAACATATCAATAGCCTCTCATTGCAAGTTATATTTATAAGGTACTAAATATATGGTTAAATTTATTTACCAGTCCAGTAATTCAATCACGTTTGACCACCACTTTGAGTCTAGTGCAGCTACTATTTTCAAATGAGGCTAATGAACTGATGCAAGAATTGAGACTTGCGTGGATTTGTTTACTACCAAAACAGATGAGCAGAACAATTTCTAGAATAAACATACATAGAATGGTCTACTAACAATACTTTTATGAATCAACTTTATCTAGTCAAATCAGTGATGGAAATTCAAAAGACTTTAAGTTTGGGATTAATTTATTGCCACAACTAATGGAGCAGAAAAACAAATGTTCTGTAAAAGACACTTAAAAGTTATCTGCTTACGTGGTTTAATTTACTGACATAACAAATAGAGTAGACAAATTATTGGCTTAATATATACACATGCTTTTGGATTATGAGCTGAGATATTTGCATAACTGAAGTGACTCTAATTGAAGAGAACCGATTAATATTGAGTGATTCTAGGCTGTCCACACTCTGGTACTTCATGTGTTTCTGTGTTTTGTCTTTGGTTTAGCATATCGAAAATGGATTTCAGGGATCATTTCGATTTAAGCTGATGTCAGGGCCCTGGGCCCATGCATTTAGATATGAGTGGGTCATGTGCCACTATGGGGTACCAATATCCATGTTGTCGGCAGAGGGTATGGAAGGGAGCACTATTTTCATTATTCATATATATTCATTAAGCTTTGAAACTGATAATAATAGCTTGATACTGTAATATTTTGTTCCTGATAAACACATAGTTTGAGACAAAGTTCTTCTGATCACAGCATAAAAATTGTTTTAAGTTATTTTGTTTTGGTATGTTTAACCGAATCATGGGAGGAATGGAACAAGCATGGGCACAGCTGATGTGCAATTTCTGGCACATGATAACCTTAGTCTATGCATATTAAAAACTACCTAGCAAATAATAATGTCTTGCGATGTGTCATGTTAAATTTCAGTTTTTTGTTGATCAAGTTTTTAATACGTTTGTTCGTACATGAATTCACTGAAGAGAAACAATGTACATGCAGCTACATGCACACTATGCGTTTGTGTGGGTTATACTGCAGAAAATGGGTCATTTCAGTCGTTCAGTTGTCAAGCCAACTGTTGCATCATGGGAACCCGAGAATTTCTGAAGGCTATAGTTTACATAGAAATACATTCTCGTTTATCCATACTAAATCGTAAGGAGAAGGAAATGGTTGATCGAGTGGTCTGTACTTCCTGTGCCATCAACACAGCATAAACATGTTTGTACTAACGTAAATATGATTTTTGTATGAAGGTCAGAGTGTAAATTTTATAGGGCCATTTGTGATTAATATGGGCCATTAGGCGCCTGGGGTTGTTTTCATTGCACCATTTCATATTTCAATGCACATACAGGGATTAAAAAATAATTTAACCCAGGACCTGGATGAAGCTGTAAAGCCATGTGCTTATGAACTACACAAGCCAGTTTGACAATCTTTGATTTAAAGCTGCAGCATGGAAATGATGACCGTTAAATGGAAACAGAAGAAAACACACAAAACCTGTAACTGTCATTCCGCTCTGACTTATCTATGCAGTCACAGACAAGCATGTCTTTGGTCATTATTGAATTTCACAGAAAGTAACTATGTCAAATGTATGCATTTATCATGAAAGTGTAGTTGCATCATTTATGTGCATCTCTCTGGATTTAACTGATCAGCAGTATTTCAAATATTGTGATATGTGTTGCGATATTTTTGTTCACCTTATAAATGTTGGCACTTTGTTCTTTGTGTTTAGTGTGATTATCTGTTGTCAAGATATTGGGCAGATATTACTGTGGAGCAGTAGTTATGGTTCTGGTGTAGATTGGAAAATAACTTTGGTCTACTGTGGTTCTCCTGACTGAACTTGCTTTGATGTTGTCTATACCAACTCCGTCGGACAGACACACAGACTCCCTTGGACAGAAACAAGACTCCCATGGACAGACACACCAACTCAATCGGACAGACACACCAACTCAATCGGACAGACACACCAACTCAATCGGACAGACACACAAACTCCCTCGGACAGACACACAAACTCCCTCGGACAGACACACAAACTCCCTCGGACAGACACACCAACTCCCTCGGACAGACACACCAACTCCCTCGGACAGATACACCAGCTCCCTCGGACAGACACACCAGCTCCCTCGGACAGACACACCAGCTCCCTCGGACAGACACACCGACTCCCTCGGACAGATACACCGACTCCCTCGGACAGACACACCAACTCCCTCGGACAGACACACGGACAGACACACTCAGCCTCGGACAGACACACCAGCTCCCTCGGACAGACACACAGCTCCCTCGGACAGACACCAACTCCCTCGGACAGACACACCAGCTCCCTCGGACAGACACACCAGCTCCCTCGGACAGACACACCAGCTCCCTCGGACAGACACACCAGCTCCCTCGGACAGACACACCAGCTCCCTCGGACAGATACACCAGCTCCCTCGGACAGATACACACAGACTCCCTCGGACAGACACACAGACTCCCTCGGACAGATACACCAGCTCCCTCGGACAGACACACCGACTCCCTCGGACAGACACACCGACTCCCTCGGACAGACACACCAGCTCCCTCGGACAGATACACCAGCTCCCTCGGACAGATACACCAGCTCCCTCGGACAGACACACCAACTCCCTCGGACAGACACACCAGCTCCCTCGGACAGACACACCAGCTCCCTCGGACAGACACACCAGCTCCCTCGGACAGACACACCAGCTCCCTCGGACAGACACACCAGCTCCCTCGGACAGATACACCAGCTCCCTCCGACAGATACACCAACTCCCTCCGACAGACACACCAACTCCCTCGGACAGACACACCAACTCCCTCGGACAGACACACCAACTCCCTTGGACAGAGACACCAGCTCCCTCGGACAGACACACCAACTCCCTCGGACGGACAGACACACAGACTCCCTCGGACAGACACACAGACTCCCCTGGACAGACACACCAACTCCCTAGGAGAGACACACAGACTCCCTCGGACAGACACACAGACTCCCTCGGATAGATACATCAGCTCCCTCAGACAGACACACCGACTCCCTCGGATAGATACATCAGCTCCCTCAGACAGACACACCAACTCAATCGGACAGACACACCAACTCCCTCGGACAGACACACCAACTCCCTCGGACAGACACACCAGCTCCCTCGGACAGACACACCAACTCCCTCGGACGGACAGACACACAGACTCCCTCGGACAGACACACAGACTCCCCTGGACAGACACACCAACTCCCTAGGAGAGACACACAGACTGCCTCGGACAGACACACAGACTCCCTCGGACAGACACACCAACTCCCTCAGACAGATACACAGACTCATTCAGACTGACACACCAACTCCCTCATACAGACACACAGACTCATTCAGACAGACACACCAAGTCCCTCATACAGACACAGATTCATTCAGACAGACACACCAACTCCCTCATACAGACACAGACTCATTCAGACACACCAACTCCCTCGTAAAGACACACAGACTCATTCAGACAGACACACCAACTCCCTCGTACAGACACACAGGCTCATCCAGACAGACACACCAAGTCCCTCATACAGACACAGATTCATTCAGACAGACACACCAACTCCCTCATACAGACACAGACTCATTCAGACACACCAACTCCCTCGTAAAGACACACAGACTCATTCAGACAGACACACCAACTCCCTCGTACAGACACACAGACTCATTCAGACAGACACACCAAGTCCCTCATACAGACACAGATTCATTCAGACAGACACACCAACTCCCTCATACAAACACAGACTCATTCAGACACACCAACTCCCTCGTAAAGACACACAGACTCATTCAGACAGACACACCAACTCCCTCGTACAGACACACAGGCTCATTCAGACAGACACAAATTCTTAAGAGCGTGGAATGTGATAGCTCTGAAAGAAACAACCAAACACTAAGCAACAACACAGATGTGTTGAGGGTACAATGAATAACACTGCATCCCTCTGGAAGTACAACCCTGGTAGTTATGGAACCTACAGAGTTCAGATAATGGCGAGGTCTGACTGTAAATACACTCCCAAATTCTTCAAAGATTTTGAGTATGGGATTTTGATACCACAGAGTGGAATGTCAGAAATATCCACATATTTATCCCCCTCATCCTTTTGCGGGGATATTAAAAAATTAAAGGTCACATGCAACGAAAACACAATTCTTTGCAGATTCTGATACCTTCTGTATGGACCAACAAGAAACTAAAAGGTTTCTTGTTGGTTTGCAAAATGCAAATTCAAGTTTATAAAGTTGAAAAAAATAACGCGGTATGGATGAAAAAAAAAACAAATTCAACTTATAAATTGGAGTTCAAACGC